ACCTGAGACAGACGTGGACATAAAGACCAACAAACTCAGGATTAAACTCACAATTTTTTTGTGTATTTAAGACTAATTTTAATTTAATTTGAATGATTTCATGTGACATTATTTTTGGTGTTTCTGAACATCCACCTTCTTCCAGTGGTCTCTCTGATTGGACATCACCAGGAAACCTCCGTCATCGATCAGGTAACACAACAAATCCTGAATCATAATAATATCTACATTCAAGACCAGACCAACTAACACAATGATCTGTTATCATGCAGAGTTTGTGTGTGCAGGTTCTCTCACATCGCTGTTCACTTCACAGTCCATCTCACAGGATCTGGAGGGGCCGCACTGCACAACACAAACAGGAAGTTATGATATGTCACTACACTCATGCCCATACAGATGAATATGATGTTAGAAGAGGATGTTTTTCTTCCATTATTACAGTTTTTCCAAACAATCGTACCTTATGAGCGGCCTGTCTGCTGTCTGATACGCGATGAAGCTAATTGTAATCGAGTGAACATTAGCCGAGTCAGAAGCTCCGTCACTCACGTGTTGGGGTAAACGCGCGTGACGCCTCCATTGGTGGATGCGAACAGCGCCAGGAAGCCGTACCTGCAGAGATCAGACTGTCCAATAAACATCTGAATCCTGTTAATACAGAAAAATCAACAGACTGTGACGGGTCTGATCTTACGTGTTGAGATCCTTGTTCTGCCAAACGCGTGTGGCGAGATTCCAGAGGATCCCAGAATCCAAGATCAGGTTATGAATGAGACCCTGATCACCTGTGAGCACATTACAAAACATTCAGTCAGACGCTTCTCATGGTTCACTGAAAGATTCTTGATTGGAGACAAACGTTTCGCTAAATTCATCCCCGTGAGGTATCTTCACATTTCACATAATGAGAATGTAAAATTATTAAATTATTCAAATTTAATTTTAAGCTCATGATGATTTATTCGTTCATTATGACTGCTGTAATTAGTTTTTGCCAATATAATACTGTTATTTCATTATGGGTGATATAAAAAAAAATCTAAAAATCAGCTCTGTAATATGTAATTATAAGAGATAAAATATTTCACAATCAATACTGCATATTATATTTGTTTTTAATAAAAAATTGTGACTGGATTATCAATGGTTTAATATTTAGATTATAATATTGATTAAAAAGTGCAGAAATATTTAGTTAGAGTTGTAATATCACATAATCAGTACTGTAATATACAATTATTAGTATTTAATAATCAACATTTAAATATTTATTAATAGATTTTGTAATAAAATATAACTAGTGCTGTAGTATTTATCAATGAATGCTGTAATATTTATTCATCAATACTGTAATATAATTAAAACAGTAAAATTGAATAAGTAATACTGGAATAATTATTAATCAATTCTGTAATATAACTAGTGCAATATTTAGTAATGAATGCTGTAATGTTTATTATCAATATTGTAATAAAAAATTAGAAATTAGATTGAAATATTTATAAATCACTATTGTAATATTAAGTAGAACTGTACATTTAGTAACTAAAGCTGAAATATTTCTCAACTCTAATACTTTAGTAATGCATGCTGAAATAATTATTAATCAATATTTTAATATTTAATTAGAGCTGTAAGATTTCATAATAAATGCTGTAATATTTCATCAGAGCCACAAAATTGCTGCTATAATATTTAATAACTATTGCTTAAAACGGAATTATTATTGCTGCAACATGTAATATTCAACGCTGGTGTGGTCTAGAGGTGAACGTTACTCACAGTCTTCAGATTCAGGTGAGATCTCCACCATCAGAGACAGGAAGTCCGCCAGGAACTGTGTGTTATTCTCAGCCATCTGCAGACGCTTACAGTATTCTCTATACACAGAGAGAGAAAGAGAGTGGATGACCATACATCTACACAAAACACACAATATCTCAAACCAGAGGAAATATCATAACGGATGGATGGATGGATGGATGTGCATACCTGGGAGCTAGAAACACGTGACCAGCCGACTCAAACGAGTTCGGCAGCAGAGACTGTAAATCTGAGAGAAACGCAGGAGAGATTATTTAGGATGAAACATCAACATCAGTAATCTCACACAAAATATCATCATCCGTATTAAATGAAAGACTCACACTGCAGCTGCAGCATGACATCGCTGAGATCAGCCTGGATGTAATATTCACTGTACGGAGGAAGTACCAGACCCAGACTGCAGGGGGCGGCACATGAAAACAAACCATGAGTTTAGCATGTTTAACGTCAAACTGGACGATCTGAACTGTTTAATCGACTCGTACCTGTAATCAGTGTCGTTAATGGGCGTCCAGGAGTACATACGCGTGACCTCGTCAATGTAGCGCTGCAGGAAAACATTTAATTATCAGACATTTTCAAGCAAAAATTGGAACATTTCTTACGATGTAGCAGAAAATGCATAGATCCCTGCACTATTCTTGCTCGATTTCGAAAATGTTCTTCATGGGAACAGATTTGGAGAAAAGTAGCATTACATAGGGCCCTACAATTTCCACAATACGTAAAACGCAGGCGGAATCTAGTCATAAAAATAGAATTTACTGTATAGCGCGGAATGTCACGGAATTTGGCAAATTTTGAATGGATACATCAAACGAAGGTTAGTACAGCAAAATCAAAATGCAACATAGACTAGTGTCTGTGAATATTAAGCCGCAAAAATATGAATCCTGCAAGTTCTGTTCGTCTCTGATGAATGAATGGCGCAGACGTGTGGTTTCGTTTCTCTAGAACTGCTCTGAAAGTCACCTCATGAGG